TTGTAATTCCCAGAGAATGTTCATGTCTCTCCCTACTCTTGTGCAAACAAGTCAGCAAGTGATGGTGGTATGTCTAACAGGCCACTGAACTAATCGGCTGATATGGTGACTCTGCATTTTTTTCATTGTCTTGCAAGTGGTTAAAGGCCAGAGGAAGTAGTGGGGGCTATAGTAAGTGAAAGAGAAAAGGCGTTGGAGCCAAAGGACGGTAAAGTAATGCAGTATGCTAGGTTAACAGAAGGGCTTGAAATGACTAGAGATTTGTGCATTTTAGGGTTGTTGTTTTTCTACTACAAAGTCCATAATTCTTCTTTCTGCGAGTCTGACCTGCAGAACTTAGATTTTACAGACACCTAAATTGTGCTGCTCTGGACAGAGAGCCCTGCTTCCCAGCAGTCATGAAGACAGCTTATTTTTTCAAATACAGTGGTTCCTTGACTTATGAACTTAATCCATCCCAGAAGATGTTCAAAACATTTGTTAAGTCAAAGCAGCATTTCCCATAGGAATGCATTGAAACCCGATTAATCCTTTCTGGCTGTTTTTTGTTCTTATGTCAAGGCACGGTTTGTTAAGTCAAAGCATTAGTTCCCACAGGAACTAATGCAAAACCAGTTAATCCGGCCTCTGCCATTAGGGGGAGAATTTTTTAAAACCTAAAATGACTTAGGTTAAAAAAAAGGGCAGGAAAGGAGGGAGCCAGAGAGAGAGAAGACAATGGGGGAGGGAGAGAGTTTGGAGTCTAAAACCGTGGTGCTTAACCTTCGTTACTCGGATGCTTTTGACCTGCAACTCCCAGAAACTCCAGTCAGGACAGCTGGTGGTGAAGGCTTCTGGGAGTTGCAGTCCAAAACTCCTGAGTAACCCAAGGTTAAGAACCAGTGGTCTAAAACACATGCTAAACCCACACATTTTACACTAACACATTTTAAATGTGTGGCTTTATCGCCACCTACAGTTAGCTATTCGAATTTCCTGCGCTTTTCCCCTGCCTTTTTTTCTGTTTGCAAGTGAAAGCAAAATTATGTGAACAGAGCTGTTCGTAACTCAAAATGTTCGTAGGTCAAGGCACCACTGTATGTCATTCTGGTGCTCCTTTTAAGAGAGAAGAGAAGACCCTGATGTTGGGAAAGTATGAGGGCAAGAAGAGAAGGGGATGACAGAGGATGAGATGGTTGGACAGTGTCATCAAAGCTACCAACATGAATTTGACCAAATTCCGGGAGGCAAGACAGGAGGGCCTGCCGTGCTTTGGTCCATGGGGTCATGAAGAGTCGGACATGACTTAATGACTAAATAACAAAACAGTGGTATTACTTTTAATTGTTTTAAGAACAAGAGTGTTAATGTTTTTAGAGAGACTCTATATGTGTGAGCAGGGCAGATTTGATTTAAATCAAATTGATATAAATCACTGTTTAAATCATGATTTTAGACTAGATTTAATAATTATTTTCTACATAAAGATTCATTCTTGCTGGTATCATTCTAATGTTTACAACCAGATGGTATCATTTTTACAATAACAATTTTTCAGGTCAATTTTCCATTATGTAAAAATATTTACTGCTTTGGTTAGACTGTTAGAAACACATCATAGATAGATGGAATGGACGCGATGTATAGATTATCAGCCATGATAAAACACATGAAAAACATAAAATTCTATCCTCTATAACTCACTTATCTTTATCTTCATCTTCTTGTTTGTTCATAATCTGAAAAAGAAAAACAAGTCTTCCTGCTTTATCAAGACCCAAATGATTTCTCAATTTACAATGAATGAGTCCAAAGGTAGAGAATATTCTTTCTACACCAGCAAAAACTGCTTAAAAGTGAAATCATTACCGTATTTTTCCATCTATAAAACAACACTTTTCCCTAAAATAATTAGAGAAAAAATGGGGGTCATTTTATACATGGAAGGCAGCAGGAGGAGGTGGAGGTGGAGACTGAGGCAAAGAAGCAGCTGGGCTCAGCCGCCTCTCGCAGCTGCTCATTGACTGCTGCCGGCGCTGCCTGATCGCCCCCTCCAGCGGTTGTCTCCTTGCAATTGGGCAGCAGTCAATGCACAGCAGCGAGAGGCGACTGAGCCGAGCTGCTTCTTTGCCTCAGTCTCCGGCTCCTCCTCCTTCTGCTGTCTCCACCACTGGTTGCAGGCTCAGTGATCGGGCGGCCCTTTGATCCCTGCTTTTCCCTTCCTTTTGCTAAGCCATAGGGCAGTGGTGTTGAACTGTGGCCCTCCAGATGTTTTTGAACAGCAACTCCCAGAAACCCTGGCCAGCAGGGGTGGTGGTGAAGGCTTCTGGGAGTTGTAGGCTAAGAACATCTGGAGGGCCACAGTTCGACACCACTGCCATAGGGCTTAGCAAAAGGAAGGGAAAAGCAGGGATCAAATTTCATGTTAGAAAAGAGGGGTTGTCTTATACATCGGGTCGTCTTGAAAAATACAGCACTTCAACCATTTCTGGATCTAAGTGCTTAAGTGACTTCTATCCATTCACTGATATGATTTTCTTTAAAACATCATCAGTGAACACATATTTCTTGAATGGTTCCCCTTTGACATTTATTATGGCTGGCCTTGCAGATGGATGATTGCTAGATGACCTTGTCATAGCGAATTCCTCTTCTCAGCACTTAAGGTTTGACCCTAGGATCCAGATATTGACAATATTTTCAAGAAAGTGAGCTGGATGACAGTGCTTGTCTCATTCATTTTTTTAATGCTTGTGATTTAATTCTGTCTTATGTGTAGTTCTGTTTTTAAGTGCTCACTCAGTTCCTTCCAAATTTTAACAGCATCAGCAATAAAATAGCATCAGCTGTTTTTCTGTATTTTGATTTAAGAATACCTACAGTGGTAATCTCAGAGGTTGATAGTTTCCAGAATCTTCTATGTTTATGATGGATTTCACTAAACAATGCTTTATTTATTTAGATCATTTTATATACATCAATGCTTTATATATCAATGCAAAGTCAATGTTTTATTTATTTATATCATTTTATTTAGTATTACTATATTCAGTACTGCCCCCAAAAGTAACATTTTCTTGTTTCAACCCCCTCTTTCTTCATAACAATTGTATCAAAATGTCAGTAACTTACAATAGTTATAATAAGAAATATAATTTTCCTCAAACATGACCGTTCCTGAAGACAGTTTTTAAAGAAATATGATGAAATCAAAACATTTATCTGTCTGAAGATCCTGCCAGTTCAAACATGTTCTTTTTGTCGGCTTCCTCATTGCACTTCTTGTGATGTTTCAATTAGGCCACTAGACCTTGCATTTCTTTGTTGCAGTGTTTGTATTTTGCACCCATGCTTGCCTCACTCATTGGTAGAGGAGCTTCATTAAAAATTTCCCAAGCTGGGTTTCTTACAGCCTGCTGCCATAGTAGGTTTTCTCGAACAGGGTAAGAATAGTATGATAAACCTTAGACAGTACACCAAAAAAATTCAAAGACTGATTGAGTATTCTGCCCAAAAGGCACTCCCATTTTTACTGTTTGCCCCTCCCTCCTCACACTTAGCTTCTTGTGCAGATATTTTATTTATTTATAACAGATTTTGTTTTATATCAGATCTGTTCCACTCCCATGAAACTTCTTCTATTCATTGATTTTTTAAAATAACTTAATGTTTAAGAGATAGGGGGTTTATTCTGTGTACATAGATTTGCAAGGGTACAATAGGATTAAAGTCTTTCCCCTCAATTCTGTATGTTTATTTTATAACATTTTTGCTGTGAAGAAGGGACATGTGATCCTTGCCTTGTTTTGAGAACTGTAAAATGAAACATCTGGGATAATATCTTTTAGACATAAAAATTGCCCGGTATTCTTACAGAAACCTCTGGAAGAACATGCCATTGTAAATAGATTAATGGAGTTTATTTACCAAAAAAATTAAACATTGCATGAATATACAGCCTCATGCTACAGAATTAAAAAATAATCCTTCTTCCATGATGAATAACCTTTGGACTGTAATGTATCATAAATGGAATATCTTTAGATAATTTTTTCCTTTAAACATTTTCATTAAAAAATCCAATTTAAATTTCAAAAATCCATTTATTTATTTTTAAAGAAAAAAATCATTGGTTTTTATCCACCCTCTGTGTGAGGAAATTGATTCTAACCCACAGAAAAATATCATGCTAAAATAAATCTCATAGCCTTTGAGTCACGTCCTAGGTTTTAACTCCCTTCCCCCCAAATTGCCATGTTAGTCTGTCTCAGCTAAAACAAACACAATCCTATCTTGAGACATGTGGCATTGCACTCCATACTGCACTCCATACTAAAATTAATTTGTTAGTATTTAAGGTACCCTACTACTTTCTAGAATTTCAGATACTGGCTGTAACAACAGTGATAGCCAGCACAGAGATATTATATAAATGTAGTGAATTTAGGAGTTATAACTTATGTTTATTTGTTACTTTAAAATAATACTTCTGCAATGCTCCTTTTCAAAATTTCTATCTTTTTTGTATTTTTACCTTTTTTCTAAGCAAACAAATAAAATAGTACTCTAAGAGGGTATCGGTTACGGAAAATATGGCTGGCTGGATTTCATCCTTAATGCTGCAAGGATATGGGATTGAATCTTCCATAAGAAGAGTGAACTGTAATTGTTGAGTGTTGTCAGCAGACCTCAAATCAGGAGTCTAGTGCTAGTAGAACATTAACAATAACTTGTCAAATTTCAAGGTCACATGGTGTGTCTGATATATAAAATGCCGTGGTTACTTTTCATTTTGTAGGATTCTCTAAAGTTTCATTAATTTTTTCTGCTTCCTAAACATGCTTAATTTAATGATCTATGCTGGTGTACACGTGTAAATCCATAGCTCATCATTAATACTAGCTTTATAATGAAAAGTCATTGCACTGTCAGGTGGCTTTCAAATGATTTGTCTTAAAATATTGTTAGTAAAGTGTATAATTAGATGCAAAAAATCTAATTCTGTTTGCCTGTCTTAATAGGACAATCCAAACCCCAGGCCAAGTTCCAGTAGTTGTTTCGCCTGGGAACCAGCAGCTGCATACTGTAACGCTCCAGACAGTGCCTCTAACAACAGTGATAGCCAGTTCAGACCCAGCATCTGCAACAACATCCCAAAAGTTTATTCTGCAAGCCATCCCAACATCACAGTCCATGACACTGCTTAAGGAGAACATCATGCTGCAGTCTCCAAAGCCCGTCTCGCCTCCTTCGTCTATTGTCTTCAGTCCTGCTCAGGTGCACCAAGTTCTCACCACCAATATGCAGACAATTTGCAATGGAACAGTCAATGTGGCTTCTTCACCATCTTTCAGCACTGCTACCTCCATGGTAACTATGACACCGAGCAGTTCACAAGTAGTTGCTCAACCATCCAATACTGTAATCACATCAGTTATTAAAGCACCAGAAACTAAACCGACTGTTATACAAGAGGTGATAAAATCAGAAGCAGAGAATGGAACAGCAGAAGAATACAAACTGTCAGAGCAGAGTTTTCAACAGCAGCCTTTTGTGGTAATGGTATCAAGTTCAAATGGATTTCCCTCAGCTGTACAGATTAAACAAGAAAGTGAACAGTTGGAGCCAAGTCCATTTGAGTAAAACAGTAAATTGAACATGTGGATGGTGATTTTCCTCAGCATGGTAGGACTTCATCCATCCTGTACTGTATATATCTTTTGATTCCAAAACAGGCATTACAAGGCTACTCTAATTTCTGAAATTAATTTGTAGAAGTAATATTGTAGACTTGATTTCAATTTTTTTCCATGAATAATATAAATGTTTCAAAATGCAAGTGTGAAGGATTATGCAGCTTGTATTTTTTTAGATCACTGTTCAAAAATTCCAGATTTCTTATGTGTCATGCAATACTTGCCCATCTTGCTTAATTATGTAATAGTACTGTAATCCATGCTTTCAAGCAATAGGTGATTTCCACAAAGGTGTTTTTGTCATTCCATATATGTGATAATTTTAGTAAATTCCAAAGATCTATTTCATGCCAGTAGACCCAAAGATTCTTGTTTTTATTTGTACAGTATGCAGGCTGATGGTGTAAAGTTAATTTGTTTTCCCCAAAGATTGCTCATTGTGGAAAATAAAAGGGAAACACCTCCATTATCAAGAAGATGGTTACCATTTACATCTTTACACCATTTGTATATTTTCTGTTTTGATAATTTTCACATGTCTGTTTGATATATGTGTTTACCAAAACTGAAGGTATCACTACAAGTGCAATTTTTTTTCAGATGACTTTAATCCTTAAATTTTAAAAGGCGTAGTTTGTTTCCCATTATTTTGTAAGGAGGTGTTAAAAAAAAAACGGGACCTGCAAAAGTATTTTGAGATTGAAATGTTTCTATAAAGGTATGTTTTCTATTGTAAATATGTAATTTAATTTCTCAAAGATTTTTTCATAAAAAGTTCTTTCAACAGAGCAATATTTTATAGATACAAATAAGATCATTATGTTTGGAGCTCTAATATTATCTATATTCATATATTACAAAGAGAAGTTGTATTTAAAAACAAAAATTTAAACATGTGGGACTCCTCTGAACCCTTTTGTCCTTTTGTATTTTAATTGGTTTATTATGAAAATAAATCAAGTACAGCACCTTTGTATAATCTTCCTAATGGTCTCTGTGCATCATGTGTATGGACACAAACAATTAGATTTTTTTTTAAGTGTTCAAGAAAACTTTCCAAAAGTTACATGGAAAAGCAGTAACATGGGGAGAGCCCTGAACTGCTGGTTGATGCAGGACATGGACCACATCTTAAAAGATTGATGCAGAGTTTGGATCACCGTTGATTCTTTGTGAATCAGAAGACTGAAGTTGAAGAAGTCACCAAGCTCAGGATGTGGATGTTTGTGTTCTTTTTGCAAGGGATAGTTAACCTATGCTTTGTGAGCTGTGCTAGGAAGAGCTTTGCTAGGGTCAAGCCTGCTGGATAGCTCAGTGGTTTAGACAGATTGAGAGTTCGAGTCCCTACTGTGGCTCCCTTAAAGGGACTGGACTCAGTGATCCATAAGGTCCTTTCCAGCTCTGCAGTTCTAATATTATCATTATAAAGGGACAGCTGGAAACTACAGATGCTTAGGAAGCTGAAAGTGATAAAATGGTTAATGGTTCAGCGGTGAAATAAGCTTTTCTGTATACACATAATACTGTTCTCTCCAATCAGCCCTGCAGTTACAAAAATAAGAGTTATCCCAGAATATCTTTTACACTCAGCAAATGATATGACTGTAGAGGGCATAAAGAGAATGTTATATACTTCACAGAGATACTTGCCAGTTTCTGACACAGTATGCAGAGCTGTATGCCAGCCTGTGTAAGCACTACTAGGAGCCAAGAACTGAAGCTGTAGTTGGCTATAATTAAGCAGTGAATGGAATCCAGTAGGAAAACTTACACCATGTAAAACGGTTTCTCTAAATTCATATGTTTGAAACACACACAAGGTCCTGAGGCTCCCTTGGGATCCCTTTTGTTATGGGATGTGGAGGAAGTCATTTCTGAAAAGTGATGCCATTGGGATGATTTTAAGTTCTGCTACTGGATTTCAGCCAATCATTATCCTACCCAAAATTCCCCAAATTCACTTGTGTGTATAGACACAGTATTGACTGGAAGACTACTAAAGGGACTGGCATAACAACTAGTTATTGTGACAGCCTCCTCTCACGTCACAAAGGAGGTGTCACGTCACTCTTACATACACACTTTACACGCTGCCACCAACCACACACATATCTGACTCCTCAGACAATGGTATGGATTTTAAAAATAAAATGATTGTTTATTGATACAACGTAAGTAATAGTAAATCACTGTATTAACTAAACAAGGCAATCAATATAAAGTATCCCCTCATACACTCTCTCACACAGACCTTCACTATCACAGTACCTCATAACCTGCACATGCCCTAAGTCCCTAACAAGACCCTAACCAAGTCCCTATCTGACTCACACATCATTCCCTCCCCCTTATATACCTTAGCTCCTCCCTCTGAAGTCCCCCCTCCTGTCCTGCTATAGGCAGATGATCTCCAGCCGTAGCAATGACAGGCAGGTGACATCATCGCAGCCGTCACAGTTAAAGTCTGTGCACAATAATGGTAATGGGTTTTTAAAAATAATTTCAAATGTGCTGAAAATGGAAGTATAGTCACTGTTTTCACCATGCATATTAACTCATCATGGTGATTGAAAGCGTCGTGCTCCCATTCCTATTTCCACACTTCAGGTCATAGGTAGTACGGAAGCTGGTTCCAGATGTTGGGGCCTCACACTTCAGATCAAAAGATGCTGTGCAGCTATTTCATACCTCAATTTCAGGCAACGTTTTTATCATTTGACTGTTTGGCCTCATTCACCTATTTTTAAGGAAATTCAGATTACTGTAACCTTCAACTTAAAATGTTATTTGTTTTTCCACTGTACCTTTTAGCTTATTACAGAATATATGTTGATAAGAATAATGTGTAATCCTTGCACAGTACTTTTTAATTGCTAGTGTGAAGAACGCTCTGCCTGAAAATGCTCTTCATAGTAAGAAAAAAGCTGTGGAGAAACAAACAGGAAAATTACAAGTGGGAGAGGCTGTTGTCTGGGCCAGTGGGTTACTCAGTGGGCCTTGGGTTACTCAGGTGTTTTTGGACTGCAACTCCCAGAAGCCTTCACCACCAGCTGTGCTGGTCTGGGCCACCCCCAAAAATTGTGAATGAAGGCAGTACAGCTGCATAACAAAAATATCATCTGAAAGGATCCTAAAAATGAGAGTGTGGTTTATGGTAATCCTGCAATGTGATGTATTTAGCAACATGTAACAGTTTCTAGAAGGGTAGGTAACTAGCAACAATAAAATGTTACAACAATTATTTGTAAATATGTGTTAAAGCTTGACATGGAATTGCTACAAATGTTACTTTTTGAATATCATAGCTGTTTGACCCCAATGTGCACAGTGCTTGCTCTGCTTCAGGATACCATTTAATGAGTTGTTAGGTATCTAGCCACAAAAGCATCTGATAGCTATTCACAGTGCTAGAAGACTTGGTTCTTTAGAAACAGCTAATTTTTTTGGCTGATTATTTTCTCTGGCAGTACATTTTCATCTATGTCAGGTTTGGGGTTGGTGGAGACAGAGCAATATGGATACAGTCTTCAGGGTCAAATCAATTTCTCTGCTTTGTTTTTATGTTGGTAAAGTGGAAAATCCTTGTTCACAAAGGTAAGTTGTCGCAAAAGGCAGCAACTTTTTGACTGCCTCCTCATGTGCAATTTTGAATGCCTTTGCAGCTGTCGACATCCAAAAATTTGACAATTCTGCTTTGTTTTCAAATGCAACATGTGCTTCGTTATTGCATCGAAGCTCAAGAAGTGACTCTGCCAACCCTTGAGGCTCTTCTGGTACAACAGCAATTTCACATTTAAAGGGGTCTACAATCCAATTGACAGCTTGTGAATCAAGATCTGGAAAGTAATCAGAGAACCGCTCTTTGAGTTTGGTAAGATGCCTTATAACTCTGTCCTTAATGTCTTCAAAAGTAATATTTTCACAATCTTCCAAGAACAAAACTAACTTTGAAAAGGTAGCTATCTTTTTCTGTTCAGCTTTCTGTCTCCAATATAAAAGCTTTGATCCAAATGCAGAAATCTTTTCTCTGGCTGAAATTACATTTAAGTTTTTTTTTCTTGCAATTCTTTGTTCAATACATTAACATG